ACAGAATCAAAAGTGAACTCTTTTATTGTATTTTGTAATTTAATTGACTTTCTGTAAAGAGCGCAAATAATAAAATTCTACAATTGAAATAATTTCAAATGCCGCACCGCCACTAATCTTTTATACTTAAACATTATAAGTAAAGTTAGTTTATCATTTTTTATAGATTGATATTTTGTGGAATTGGTCGCATTGCGCATACGCCTAGTCAAACATTTGCCGTATTGAAGAAGTTTCATTTTCTTTTTCCCTCCTTTGCTCGGTTCTTGGCTTGTGTGTGTATACGAGTACATATATATGTGACCGAAATAGAGAGGAAATGAAAATGGTTTAAGTTTTTTTCTTTTTGCATTTTCCATTTTGTGCCACATGACTGCCTCTGGCTGATATCTCAAGTCGATACTTCTGGCTGTTGCTGCTGGCGTGGCAGCTGCAAGGCTGGTTGGCATTGCAACTGCAACTCCTCTACCTCAGTACCCTTCCCCCAATTGCGTGTGCGTGCTTGCATGGAAATTGCTCTGCTTAGGCTTGGGTCATGCAACTTGTTCAGTTTTGGCTAAGCACGCATTGCTGGTTGTCATGCATTTGCCCCCGATTTTAGTTTTATTTTTGTTGCTATTTTTAGTCTGCTGCTGTCAAGTAATTTATTGCATTGCGTTGAGTAAACCACCTTGACCCACTAATTGCCCGCTCGCCAGTAGTTGCCGCTGCCCACTCGCCTGCCAATCGGCCAGTCTGATGCAAGTCGCGTCGCAAATAGATTTTCTCATTTTCATTTATTACCAGCTATACTTTGAACCTCCGCTGCTGCTGCTGCTGGCTGACTGTCTCATGAAGTCGTTCGCTCAATCATGCACTCACAGATTCCACTTGCGATGACGACGACCATTAACAAATGATTTGTCCACACCACGTACGTGAATCTGTGGTTCGGAGATTGAAATCAATATACAAAAAACTAAATAAATATTTTTCTTTTTAGATATAAAAAAAAAAATATATTAAATAACAATATTAAAGCGAAAGAATTTGACAACTGTCTTAATTTAAACAACAATTCAAATTAGCAAGAAAAACAAAAGAAACTGAACCGTCCTTATGTACTATGTTGAGGGTAACTTTATTATAAATATTAGTATTACATACTAATATTAGTGTTTGTTGCCTCAACTCCTATACATACACCTGTAACACATACATACACCTGTTTTTACACGGTTTTGACTTAACACGGTTTGAAAACTAAAATAATAGACCTAATTCTGTTTTTACACGATTGTGATATAACATGGTTTGGAAATTAAAAATTTCATATATATTTCTTTAGACATAAGGAACCAATCACTTATTTTTGCGTATGATCAATGTGTTTTTTACACGGTTATTCCTGGAACCAATCTACCGAGTAAAAGCAGCAGAATTAGGTGTTCATTCTTGTATGTGGAAATTTTTGTACTCAACGGTAAATATTTTAAAACGCATAAATAAATTGTATCCATTGCTGCTCGTTATACTGCAGTTCCTAGTGTCGTAATTTAAACGTCATTTTATTTTACTCGCAGATAGTGATCACAAATAAATATAACAAGAACATAAACTGCCTCGAAATTAAATTATTTTATTTATGTTCATTGAATTTCGATTTAACATCAGCTTTGTTTTTCGATTAGTTTTAAACTTCGGTGTGAACCACAACGATTCGGAACCACAGTGGGGGCCGTGCGGTCTGCTTCTGCATTTGGTCGAATGGTTGTTGACCAGTATGGGTGGGTGTGGGGGTTTGTGTGTAGTGTATAGTAGTGTAGTGTTGTGTTTAAAATGCAATGCTTATAGTGACAATGCTTGTTAGCTGTGCTGTCGAGTTGCTGACGTCTCTCTGGATGGTTTGTAGGTGGGTGGTTGTGGGTGGTTTCGCTGCTTTCCTTCGATACTTATCGCATGCTATTTTGCATGCTAATCACTTGACGACTTTCAATTACATGCGCTTGTTCACTGCACAAACAAATTGAATGCTGCATTTATTATTCAATAAGTTGTTTGCTTACTGTTAAGGGTCACTTGAATATTTCTTGTTATTCCATTACCAAACAGTCGTTCATACATAATTTCGTGCAATTTGCGGGCATTGTCTGCTCAATCAATCGATCGACTGTTTAGTAATGGAATGAATATTGCGTACAATACAAAGGCATTACCTGGCAAAATATTAACTAACTGGCTACCAAGTGAGTAAGTTTTGCACTTAGTTTTTAACTTTATTTAAATATTTACATATTTTTGCGGAAACCCACCCACCACCTTCACACCTCGCATTCAATTTTTGCTTTTGGTGGCAATCACCGCAGGCATGAAAATTTAAGCAAGACAGCAGCCACCCCCACCACGTTTGAATATTAATGAACATAATTGAAAAAGTTAAGTTGGAAAACAACAGTAGTGCGTTCATAACAAGCAACAGCACCGGCACCAGCGCGCAAATAACAGCAAGAGCAACAACATTTAGAAGAACATCCTGTGTGACTGAGCAAAAATTAATTTTCAAATTACGGCAAATAAAATGTTGCGCGTAACTTTTCAGCAACAGTAACCACCAAGAGTGGAAAAGCATCACGGGTAACAACAATAACAACCCTCAAGTACAACAACAAGAAGAATAACATTTAGTATCCCTGCCCACAGCCAGCTCTCATTGCGCAATTTACATAATTACGCATATTTGGCATAACTTATAAATATTTATGTTGATTTTCAAATTAAGTTGTTTCAGATTTCACAAAACTTGCCGCCCACAAGAATTTTTCGCAATATTGCCGCAAGCAAAGAAGCCCCAAGAAAACTTCCCATAATAAGTAACTGAATAATAAGCAAAGCACTTTAAAAATATGATACCCTTGCCTTCCACATTCGTAAACAAAGTCCAGCCAAGCAGCTGCAACAAACTTTGGCTGTGTGGCAGCCACGGCTTCATATTCTTCTACATACTATATGTACAAGTACTTGCATTTTGCAATTTAAAATTCAGTCGAAACTTGCAGCTATCGTTTGGCATGCCATCAACACAACAAATATAAAAATATGTTTATTACTTTGAAAAATAAAAACAAGTGCCATAACTGCACCTGAAAATGCGAATTAACATGATGCTCACGTTTGTGTTTTCTGCGAACGTAGCGAGCGCCAATTTGAGAAATGTTGAATCACGCGCGCCGCGTGATCCAAAACGACTCCCATGGGGCATTGTCACCCCGCTGCCGGGCCACAGTGTCAACTAATGACCATAGCGAACCCACAGCTGGCAGACTGACTATCCGACTTGACTGTCCAGCTCAGCGACTCGGACGACTCTGCCCATTTTTGGGGTCAAGCGCTCCACTGTTGTTGCCCAGTTGACAAATTACTGCAATGTCCATCCATTCGTCATCATCGCCCATTAGTTAGTGTACAGTTGGGCCCGCTCTGTTGCTGATATGTATCTGGAAAACATATGCATATGCATACACGTATGAAGTATGGTGCAAGATACATATGTTTTCATGTTGTGCTATTAATATTTCTGAGAAAAATTGGTTACGCTAAAGAAGAAGCTTTTTCTACATGCAATGTGCCATTTTTATAATGGACATACAATTTAGAATTTAAAGTCTTTCTACAAGTAATGTTATTGCGTTAACTTCAACTCTTTGAAGGCAACTTAATATTTTATCTACAATGTTCGTCTTCAATACAACAAGTCATTTAACTCAAGATTATGAAGTGGCAAAACAAATATAGAGCTATTTAATTATATTATCTATATGGACCCGTTTTTCCAGCCCCTACATCAATAAAAACCCAATTTAAATTCTATGATCTTAAGTGTTCACTTTAAAATATAAAATAATCAAAGGACTGTTTATGTTTTTTTACAACCAGGCCGTAAAATTACAAAAATATATATTTATTTTATTCAAAACAGTTCCCTTTGGACTCCATACGTTTTGAAAACATGTCGAACGAGTGTTTTAGCTCGTTGGCTGGGCATGCCTTTAGGATGGCAATCATCAATTTTTAAATCCTAAATATAAGTAAATATAGAAATATTATGTAAATACGAGTACTTAACTCTTTAACACATAAGTTCTCATTGTTATCTTGTTCATAAATTTGAGTGCACATAATGAAAAGCAGTGGGGGTTCTTAACGATATGTAGAAGTTGGGTATACTTGTACATTGCATTGTTTTTATGACACTGCAGGCGGTCTATCGCCCAGCGTTGACTGCCCGTCGGTCTCTCTGTGTCGCCTCGACATGTTTTTAGTGCAACGCTTTGGATTTTGTACAGACAGCCATCAATGTGGCAGCCGCCGGCTCGCAAATACAAATCTGTGGTTGGCATTTGCATATAAATGCGATTGCAAGTGTGTGTTGCCTGTCTGCTCTCGATTTTCATTGCTGACCAAGTGGAAGTGAAAATGGAAGTAGAAGTGGAAGTGACTGTCTCTGACAGCGCAATTTCTATCTTGCGTGAAGGGTTGTGTGTCGTCGTTAGGCCAAACATGATTTTATAATCGCTGTAAAAATATCAATAGCTCACTAAAATATATAGCACACGCTCCTCTAGGGCTAACCTGTTCCCCTCGAGCTTTTGAAACAATGTGAAACAAGGTTTGTCAACAGCCAGCCGACCACTTATCAGCAGAACTTTTGCATAAAGTGTCAAGTATGGAATTATAGGAATGTCTCGTTATTTATTTCTGTGTATTGTTGTGGTCGTGAAAAGTGTCGAGAACTTGACATATTAATAGACAGGCGGAGCTAATCTATCAAAAAACTAAGGCATCACAGTTTATTTATGAACAGCACACGCCTAGTAAACTAAATAAATGACAATCATTTGGTTAAAAATAATTTTACTCAGCCATAAAAATATACAAGTACAGTTCGTCAAGTGAGGGTAAATATTTGTTATCTATCACAACTTTTTAAAAGAATTTCGCTTTTTTCCGATTCTTTATTGTAGCACAAACATGTCATCGGACTCCTCCAGTAGACGCATACCAGTGCCCGAAGAGCTGAAGGAGGTGCTCTTGCAGTTCTCTATAGCCTACCTGGTCGAACAGCCGGCTGATATTGTCGACTATGCAGTCGACTATTTCACCAAAATGCAAGCAAATCGTCCAACCATCCTCAATGACCAGCGGGGCGATGATCAGAGTATTAACTCACAGGACGGCGATGGTGAGTATGGTGTGTTCAAACAATTTTTAAAACTATAGTATAATATGTATTCTTAAATGTGCACGAACAGCCCCTCAACTGGCGTGACTTCTGGTCTATATTTATGCCCAAAGCATTACGTCAATTGAAGTGTTGTTCTTGGGTATGCGTTGCAGCTAAAATGATTCATTTATTGAGCACACCTTGATTTTGTTACTTCCTCTGTCATGGAAGCTAAACTGTTTTCCTTCCATTTTGACGTCAAACATTATAGAATGGTGCTAAAATGCATCACACATGGCGTATACGGAATTTATATTGATAAATTGCCATTTTGTTAATTATACCCTGTACCCGTAGGGTAAAAAGGGTATATTAGGTTAGTGCAAAGTATGTAACATACAGAAGGAAGCATCTCCGACCCCATAAAGTATATATATTCTTGATCAGCATGACGAGAGAAATCGATCTAGACATGTCCGTCCGTCTGTCCGTCTGTCCGTCTGTCCGTCTGTCCGTCCGTCTGGATGAACGCGAGGATCTCAGAAACTATAAAAGCTAGAATAACCAAAGTTGGCATCCAGATTCTCCTAAGTCCGAGTAAGGACGAGTTTATTTTATTTTTTTGGATTTTCCCCCCCTCCCCCCGCTACAGAATTTCGTCAATAGCGTCTACATTTCAAATGCTACCTAAACCAAACTTTGCACACATAATTTATATATAATTGTCTACTGTTGTATAAAATTTTATTCAATTCGGTCAATTCTAAGAAAAGTTATTAGCGAAACAAATTCTCTACAGTACAATCCCCCCAAACTGCAGCAACAAGTTCGCTCTTCTTCTTCCTCTTTTTGCTGCTGCTATGGGCGCATATAACTCAGTGACGGAAGTTTACATGGGTACAGGGTATTACACTGTCGGGCTTGCTCGACTGTAGCGTTCTCTCTTGTTTTACATTATTATTTCAAGGAAACACAAAAATTCCTTATTACTTTCAATTCAATTCGAAAACAAGCTGTTATTCTTTAAATCAACATCAACATCGTTAGTCATTGACTGACGTGCAAATATGTATACGTATATGTATATGTATATAGTAATATACATATTCTCGTATGTATATTGTTTTTTATTACTCTTTTTTTAGGGTTTAATTCTTGGAACTATTTAACTATGGTCTCATTGTAGCTTTAAGGATTCTTCTTTATGTTTTTACGATGGTTAGCCTTTCAAGCACGTAATAATTTATGAAAAGGTGCTCCATCCAGTAACCTTTTAAGGTTCCTTTTTGAAATTTTTGTTTGCTAACATGGTCTCCACTGAAGCACACTAAATTCCAATTCTAACATATTTCAAGAGAAAACTTTGGGTAGTTGCTTGCTTACATAAATGTAGGTATATATGCGTGCGTGTGTGTGTATGTGTTTATAAATAATGTGGACCTTTCAGCCTTTTTAACAGCTGCCAGTTTTTGACCAAATTAAAAAGTTTCTGCTGCTCGACCCAAAAGCGCCGTACACAGAGGAAGGCGTTTTAATTCCGTTTCCTGTAAACATAAATATGTATATTTCATTAAAATGCGTTACCTTGCCTTGGCTGGCCATGTCTTGCATCGTTTGTTGTCATGCCCCTGACAACTTGATGCCGTTGTGGCTTGCGCTCAATTATATGGAGAATCAAGCTGCTTGGTGGGGTATATGTCTAAAAACCACCCTCGACATTAACTTCGCGTTCGCCCACTGTCTGCATTTAAAAATGGGGGCACGTGTAGACAATTAGTGCAGTTGACCATGCGAATATGTGGGACATCTTTCCATAAATCTTTCCCCTCTCTGGACACCCCCTTGAGCGGCTGCCGTTGCGTGCCTAACAATGTGCATGGCAAGAAAAAGTACAGCAAATTAAATAATAATGATGATAAAGTTGTATGCCCAGGCGAACTGGCACCCCTCGCCGCCCCCATTGAGCATCTCATCACATATTGTTCACAGCATCTTTTGCGTGTTTATCTTCCGGTTAATCAAACACGCAGCGCGCAGACACAAACGTTCCGGCACAAGCTCCAACACAGCTTGCTACTTCCGTTATGGCTGCTACAACGGCGATGGCGTTGCCGATGGCGTCGCCTTCGTGTCAAGTGTGTATGTGTCTATGCCAGTGTCTGTCTGCTGCCAATATACTCGTCGGTGTGTGTGTGTGTATGTGTACGAGTATATACATATATGAGCCTTGAGTTTGTCATTAAAAGTCTATTAATTACTAGGCCAACAGCGGCAAGGCCTAAAATTTCGTTTTTATTTTCGATGAGAGCGCCTGGCAAGGATCATGTCTGACTATATATCTACAAGCATTTAAGATATGTATGTATGTGTGTATAAACGGATGCTGACATTTATGAACTAATACCTTTTGCAGACCTTTACCTCGCACAGTGATATTTATTCGTTAAAAAACAATTACAATTCTATGCAAGTTTAAACATTTTTTAACGTTTCTTTTTCGATCTTTTATTAATATAATATTATTATTTGCATTCCTTTTATATTAAACATTATTTATTTCATTTAATAAAATGTAAGTAACATATTTTCAAGGAATAAAATTCATTTGTTATTATATTTATTATTTTTTATTTAAATAAATTTCTGCATCCTCAATTATTAATACTTTTTTCATATCAAAAAGTTTAGTTTTAAAGTTATTATTTGTGTTGTTATCTACACAGATATATGCGGGAAAAGAATTCTAAACTTAAAATTTGTAACGTTGTTCTGGCCCGGGTATACTTTCCTTTTCAATTGGCCCGTTTCCTGTGGTGCTGGAAAAATATCAAACTACAACTTGAAATATTTCACAACCGTGTGCCTGCGCGGCCAAACTAAAAACTCACTTCTTTCAATCTCTTTTCGTCTTCTGCTACGCCTCGTGATGGCCGCCAGGGCGTCGTTACAAACTTTTGAAGAGTTTTTTGTTTGATAAAGTATTTTCGAAACACTTGACTTGGCCCCACTGTGGTGTGCATCGTATTAAGCCACGCATCTGTCCTCGTTTTCTGCAGCCCTCCTCTCGCATTGTGTCTGCTCAGTGAATTCTCCCACTCAAATTGTCCGTACCACAAATAGCCAAAGTTTAACTGAGCGAAAGCGGCACGCAAATATGTGTGTGTGTGTGTGTGTGATGGTGTGTGTGGCTACCCTTTTTGCCACCCGTTGGACTGTGGTGTCCAGCCTTAATATCGATTTTGTTATTGTTGTTATTTATTTTCGCTTGTATTTTTACGCTTTGATGTCTATTAGTGGGTGACTGTGGTTTTATTTCATTTTTGTACGTACATACATATACACGAATACACACATATGTATAAGGTCGTTGAGGTTTAAATGCGGCTTGTCAAATTCAAATATTAAGTATACGACGCATCGCACGCGTGCCATTTCTGTAATGAAATGCCGGTTGCACGTTTTTGGCATGCAAAACAATTTCTGGGTGCCAAAATGGCGCTCCTGTTGTGGCTTAATGTGTCTATATAACTTTATGCGTGAGCGTGTGCGTGTGTATGTGTGAGAGGGTCTGCCGGACTTGTTAAAGTTTTTAATATATAGGGTGTTTCTATTCTCCTGTTGAGGTGATTTGTAAAAAGTCTATCTTTTATTTGAAAAATATAATGTTTGTTTCTTTTTAAACTGATGGCAGATCTGATAAAATAGTTAAAAGTCGATGTTGAAGGTTGCCATGCCGAATTATTATCGATATCAAGTATTTTTTCAGTATTTTTTTCCAACTATCTTTTTGTACTTCTCACTCATCTTCTTCACAAACTATACGTTAGCTGCGGGATCATTCTGCAAATGGTTGCAAATTATGGAAGATACACAGGGAGCGTTAAGTCAACTTTAGGATCAATATTATGGATCGGCTGTGACTGCTATTCAAAAAACGATTAAGATTGTGTGATCTGACGCATTTCTGTTGCTATTTCAAATTAATCATGTTCTATGCAAATGGACCGACATTTGGTGACAAAAGTTGAAAGCCTTAACACAAAAAAGGTTAACTTTCAAGATGCAGTTTCAACCAGTTAAGTGTCGACCATTAAATTTCTTCCACACAAGAAATGAAAAATTAGTGTAGTTTGTATTAACATTTTAGGATCTATTTTTCTTAAATAAGCACCATATATTTAGTATATAACAAAAACGAAAAATAAATAACCGCTATAAAGACGAGCGAGCAACGAAGCATAACAACTGGTGCTTGGTTCTGTAGAACACATTAAACACGCTTCACTTGAGCGTAGCCCAGTCAACCAGAGAGTCCACACACACACACACACACACACAGAGGCAGACGAAGAAACACCTTTATATACATACATATATACATGCATATACTATGTACATATACGTGTATGTTGTGAGGCTGGCAGTAACATTTCAGCGGCATTATTGACATGCCAGTGGCGTTTGAAGTCAAAATCGAGCACTGCGCGCACCTCACCAGAGGCTGCACAAAATGGATGGCAGGCCTTTGAACGGATATTGCCAGCATACCAGGCGGATGTCCATGTTAATGTCATGGATTGTACTGGTGTGTCATTCCATATCACCTCCCCCTCCTCAGACTGATGGTGTATGCCGCTGCTGCTGCTGCTGTTGCGCCCCTGTTGCGCCCCTGTTGCGCTTAATAATATAAAATACGTTCATGTTCATCATGTTAATCAAGACAAAGGCGGGCAACACAAAGCGACGCGTTATTTATATATATACCATATACATGTGCATGGATATAGCACAGAGTGGCACACATACACACACATACTTTTTTTATTGCTTCGTTTGGTATGTGCTGCTATTTATATTGACACTTTTATATACAATATACTCGTATATGAAAATGCATGGAAGTATCTGTGTTTGTTTTCCTGCCGCTTGTGTCTGTGGCTGTTGCCTACTTACAGGCACTATTTCCGCTCTGTTTTGTCGTTTTGTGGGCAGCAGTGTTGATGCTGCGGCTTCTCTTCTTACATATA